GAGAAGGCGATGACATCTCCTATGTCGACTAGAATGTTGGTGATAAACTCCGAGTCCCATAGATGGATGGGAAGATGAAGGATCTCTACCCAAACATAAAAGAACTTAGGAAGAACTTTGAGGCCTGACGATTCGGACCACCGGGAGAAGACGCCCCCAAAGTTGCCCATATCGAAGAAGGGTTTGGAGCATGCGAGGTCCAGGGTCTCCTTGTCGGGGAACTGAATGAAGAATGATGAAGCCGCCGATTGCCTAATCGCATAGAACCATTTCTCTACCTTGAAATGGAGCTCTAAGTTCTCTACTAGCTCAGCATATGAAGGGTTCCCGACTTGGATCTGGAAGTGAGCATAGCTCACGAACTCCTCCATGCTGGCAATAACGGAGGGAGGAAGAGAGATCTTAGGGACAAAAAGTGGCGGGGGGCAGAGGGTAGAAGAGATGGAGGAATGCTGAGTAAAGTTGGTTGTTTTCGGTTAGGGCAGCAAACTGAGGTATGGCCAACGAGGTTGCAAGCAAAGCATTTGAAATCCCCCAGGGAGTAATTTTTCGCCATGTGACCTGGGTGACCACAAAGATAACACCTAGGGGTTTTAGGAGGGGAATGGGACTTGTAAGAAGATGCTACGGATCTAGGCCTTTTGTCTTTCTTTCTATAGGAAACTGTGGTCCAACCTAGATTTGGGTTAGGGAGAAGACCTTTGGAGGAAGATGAGGGGCCTAGAGGGTTTGGGACAGCCTTGGGGCCCTTAAGGATGTCTGCAAAGGAGGGTTTGGAAGAGGGCGCAAGGTTCTTTGGTGGGTAAAAAGGAGAGGAAGATGGTGGCAAAAGGGTTTTTTGATGTTGAGGGAGAGAGGATGGCGTCTTTGATAGTTACTTTTCTTCTCCTCGGGTCCTGAACCGCCGCCTGGTCACGTCCAACGCCGAATCGCCTTGGAAATCGCCTGTTCCCTTGCTCCATCCCAAGACTTTTCTTCTTAATTACATACATACTTAATTGGTTTACGAGGAAATTGTGCTCTTGAAGCCTGTGCTCTTGAAGCCTTTACTTGTTACTAAAAACCAATGCAGTTTTCTTGAATGATAAGTTATTCGCTTGTCATTCAAGTTCTTTCTGAATGCGCTCAGGAAATTAGTAAAATAGAAAGATTTCATTGAAAAGTGTAAATGAGCCCAATAAATTACAAAAATATGACTAATGTTTTATTTCAAATAGTTACATAATATAAATATTAATAGATAGGTAATTATGATTAAGGTTCTAGTTTGGATCACCCCTCCTCTAGTCCAAACGAGAATTAGTTTAGGATAGAATTGGTGGTTATCAAATACACTCTAAGGTCATTTGGCAAACTCCTCAAAATTGGGCAGTGACTGATTTTGACCCATTTTTGAGATAAAATTAGTTACCTTTTGACCAAAGAGAGGGGTGGATTTAAAAAAAAAAAACTAATTTAAGAGGTGTTTTTTGTCTTAAAAAACTATGCCAACTCTAACCTATTTTCCCCAAATAATTAATTTGCACTCTAAAATAGTATCAAGTCTAAACTTAGTCTCATTTTTTAAGATTACCAGACGGCCCAAGGGTCAATTTGGGAAAACCCTTAATGGGATTCTCCTCCGCAAGGTTGCAACGTTTTCATATATTGAATTCTCCTGCGCAAGGTTGCAACGTTTTCTTATATTGACTTGGCATAGTTCAACCTTTTCAATTTTTTCTTCAAACACTTTTCTCCAAAATGGAACTAAGGTTGATCCTAGTTATGTTTTGAGGAGTTGCCTAAAGATGTCATGGTTATGCATGATATACAAACCTAAACATGACGAACTTACAACGCAAGATAAACGCTAGCTGTTGGCCCTTAGACACGATCATAGTGCTGGGCCAAGCCCCATATATGTTTAATTTGGACTGGGGCCATCTCTCTTAAAGACATAACAAAGGCTTTAGATTAACACAGCGCAGAAGTGATAGCCTCGGAATCTACCAAAGACGTTCTTTGAATCCACAAAGAACAATCTTCGAATCCACGAAGAAATTCGAATCCACAAAAAATATCGAAAAGAGAAATTTTATTGATCATAAGTTATATCTTTAGGGCTTACAAGACTCTGCTTAAAAAGAAAAGTAACAAGACTCCTACTATGACTCAAGTTTTACCAAAAATAGATATAACAAAACTCTTCCTAAAAAGACTCCTTAAGATTAGGAAAGTCAATCGGTCAAATATGAGATCAAACCGGGTTTTTTTCTAATCAAAACAGACTCCTAAAATATTACTAGAAATAATAAAAAAACCGACAAAAACTGATATCTCTCAAACCGGAGGGAATTTAGTAAAACGGATAGCGGAAAACCAAACTTCGGGTGGTTTGGTCGGTCTCGTCTCAAAAAAATACGCGATTTTCATACATAATTCGTCCAATTCCGACTTACAGTTTGAAAGTTATGACTCGTTCTTCATAGTAAGTTATTTTTCTCGACCGGGACCACGTTTGGGCTTGCGACTGTCCCGCTTCAACATAAACATATCCGCCGTGTGTTCTACATCAGCCACCCTACTTGAAAAGAGCTCGACCCCGAGCTTACACTTGTATGAAGAGCTGTTTCTTTTGGTGGGTAATACTCAATCAAATCTGCAACATTAAAGCTGGGAGAAATAACCAAATCCGAAGGAAGGTCAACGATATGAGCATTGTCACTAATCTTCTTCAGTATTGTGCATGGACCATATTTTTTATTCTTCAGCTTGTTGTATGTACTCACTGGAAAACGCTCTTGTCACAGGAACACCATTATCATGTCTCTCTCTTCAAACACCTTCTTCCTTCTGTGTAGATCAGCATCAGACTTACATTTTGTATTAGACTGCTCTATCTTCTCTTTCACTTCCTGTTGTATAGTACGTATATTTTCAGCCATATGATCTGCAGGAACACTCTGTCCTGGAAGTTTAGGCAGTAGAACTAGATCAATGTAATGACTCAGAAGCCTTCCATATATAACCACAAAGGGAGCCTTGCCTGTTGTTCAATTCTCCATATAATTATAAACAAACTTAGCATATTCCAGAGCACGATCCCACTATTTCGGATGATCCCCAGAGATGGATCTAAGAAGGTTACCGAGAGTGCGATTCACCACTTCAGTTTGTCTGTCAGTTTGAGGATGGTAAGCAGTACTGAATTTAAGTGAAGTATTAAAGTGCTGCCACAAAGTCCTCTAAAAGTGGGATAAGAACCTGGAATCATGATCAGATGTGGTGGATTTTGGCACTCCATGAAGGAAAACTATCTCCTGAAAGAAAAGATTGTCAATGTTGCTAGCATCTGCAGTCTTCTTGCTTGGAATAAAGTGTGACATATTTTAAAATCTGTCAACAACAACAAAAACAGAATCCATACCTCGTTGGGTTCTAGAGAGTCCTAATACAAAATCCATCGAGATGTCGTTCCATGGTGCTTCGGGGACAGGTAAGGGTGTATACAATCCTGTATTTTTGGACTGCCCCTTAGCGACTTAACAAACTGGACAACGCCTCACATATTTTTCTATTCCCTTCTTCACCCGAGGCTAGTAATATTGTTCTTCAATGGAAGCAATCATCTTGTCACGCCCCAAATGTCCTCCTAACCCCCCTGCATGAAGGTCTTGAATTATCTGCTCTCTTTGTGAACTCTAAGATATGCACAACTGATCTCCATGAAATAAATAACCATCCTGAATATGAAAGCCTCTGACTAATTTATTTTGTTGGCAGTCGTTCCAAATCTCCTTAAAGTCTTCGTCATCTGCATACATCTCTTTTAGGTACTCAAGTTCAATCACTTTTGCCTGCAAAGTATTCAACAAACCAACCCTCCGACTGAGTGCATCTGCAATCTTATTCTGCTTCCCAGACTTGTGCTTCAAAACAAATGTGAAACACTATAGAAATGCAATCCAACGAGCATGTATACGGTTGATGGTAGTTTGACTATTAATGGACTTTAAATCCTGATGGTCGGTATTAAGCAAAAACTGTCACGAGATCAAATAGTATTCCCAATGCTTAAAAGATTGAACTATGGAATATAACTCTAATTCATATGTGGTCCACTTCCGTCGAGCTTCACTGAGTTTCTCGCTATAGAAAGCAACTGGATGTCCTTCTTGAGATAGAACACCACTAATTCTTATGATGGACGCATCACACTTAACTTCAAATACCTATTAAAAATCTAGAAGTGCAAGCACTGGTGCAGTGGATAACTTCTCCTTGATTAGTGCAAAGCTACGATCCGCATCTTTCCCCCAATTAAACTTGCCTTTCTTCACGTATTCAGTGATAGGCGCTACAATATTGCTGAGATTTCTGACAAATCTCCTGTAGAAAGTTGCTAGGCTATGAAAACTACAAACTTCGCTGATAGTATTCGGTGTAGGCCAATCTCGAATAGCATATACCTTCTCTTCATCAACATGGATGCCCTCTGCACTAATGACAAAACCCATGAATACGAGGCTACTGGTCATGAAGTTGCACTTCTTCAGATTGATGTACAACTTGTTTTCCTACAAAACTGTTAGTACCTCCCTCAAGTGGTCTAGATGTGCGGTCTCAGTCTGACTATAAATCAGGATATCATCGAAGTAAACTAAAACAAACTTACCGATAAAGAGTTTTAATACCTGATTCATCAACCACATGAAAGTGCTAGGAGCATTAGAAAGACCAAAAGGCATGACCAACCACTCATACATGCCTTCTTTTGTCTTAAAGGCAGTCTTCCACTCATCTCCTTCTCTAATCCGAATCTGATGATAACCACTCCTGAGATCTATTTTGGAGAACACTTTTGATCCAGAAAACATATCTAGCATGTCTTCCAGACGAGAGATAGGAAATCGATATTTCACGGTGATCTTATTAATAGCTCTACTATCCACACACATGTGTCACTCTCCGTTCTTCTTTGGGACTAGTAATGCTGTCACGACACACAGACTCATGCTAGCTCATATAAGGCCTTTCTGGATGAGATCATACACCTCTTTCTGCAAGATCTCTCCTTCCTTCGGGCTCATCCGATAGTATGGCAGATTCGGTAGCCGGGATCCAGGGATGATGTCAATTTGATGTTGAACATCTCGAAGCATTGGTAATTCAAAAGGAAGTTCGTTAGGCATAACTACATCAAATTGTTGCAAGAGTGTTTGTACTTCAGGTGGAATTTTGGTGGAGGCAGAATCCTCGCTTCCTGATACAGTAAGAGCATAAACCTCGTCAGACTGCTTCACATCTTTTATAAAATCTTTGTTGTCAATGGCTAAAAATGTCTTCTTTTTAGCAACAATTGTTTTGTTTGGCCCCTTCTCGGTTAAAGGCTTGAGCACAATTTGGCGACCATCCTTCTTAAAGACATAAACGTTATCCTTCCCTTTGTGTGTGGCATCAACATCAAACTGCCACGGCCTACCTATCAGCATATGACAAGCATCCATCTCAACTATATCACACAATGCCTCATCAACATAACTTCGGCCAATGGAAAAAGATACCCGATACATCTCATCAACCTGTATGTCATTACCCTTACGAATCCTACCGATCTTGTAGGGACCGAGATGTTTTTATGTCTTCAAACCTAATTTCTCCACCATGTGCCGAGAGACAATATTCTTGCTGCTCCCACTATCAATGATGACATCATAAGTCTTCTATTTCACAGTGCATCTCTTGCGGAAGATATTATGCCACTGTGGTGGTTTTTCTGTCTTTGGAGCCAATAATAATCACCGCACAATACACGATAGTTGATCCCCATCATCAGGATTCACCCCATCACCATCATAGTCTTCAACACCATTTTGGTCTGTATCCTTTGTTAGACCCTAGAGGGGGGGGGGGGGGGGGGTATACACAAGGTGATATATCCTAGCAAAGAGGTATACTATATGATATATGCAAGGATATGCAAACACAAGGGTAACATAAACAAATGATATAGTGGATGAAATAAACAATGAGAGAAAGGCTATAAAGATGAACAAATATAAGTGTGCTAAGCCAAACTCAAACAAGCAATATGATCATGGAGTTCGGACCTTCCGTCTTACGTCTCCGCTCCCCACTCCCGGGGAGAAATCCACTATCACAATCCGGTTTGGAAGCCAAAATTTCTACACACTCGGTTTTCTAGTTAACTGAAAACTCTACAACTCACACTCATGCAAACCCACTCTACACCCTCACAAGTGTTGGACCTAGCCGTGTCTCCCTCAAGTGCTTGGTTACAACCTCTCCCTAGGTTCGTCAACCGACGCCACTCCTCTTAGGACGATCCCCGACTCTCACCATACACTCCTCTCGGTGTACAAGTATATTACAAAGTGATCTCACGATTAAGCACAATACAAAGAATGATTGTTCAAAAGCTCACACTCAATTATTACAACTCTCACCAACCCAAATATACTATGTATGTAAATACAATAAGCTCAAGTGGGTGTGTGTAACAATGAGAATAAATAAAACAACTAAACTCAAATAAAATCTAGCATATAGAAATTATGAATAAAATAATAAATAGCTAGAAATAGAGTTTAGGAATTCTTCTCTGAAAAACAAGATGGAGAGATAGATTAAAAGGAAGCTCAAACAATATAGATGATCTCCTCCACTTGTGAACCAACCAAAACAGCTTTAAACCAAACTTAAACCCCTGTTAAAACTTTTATAAACTTGTTTAAAACATCCCATTGGTTGTTGAAATAGAATGGGGTTTGGGGGTTTATATAGGAAGAGGAAGCAACAGCAAAAACTCCAAGGGAAAAGACCAAACAGCCCAAGAATCAGAAATCTGATTCTGTACCAAAAGAGTCGTTGGGATAAATGGTGGTCGACCGCGACGGTTGACCGCAAGCAACAAAAACAACAGGAAAATGTTCTAGAGACTTCGGTGGTCGACCGTGGTGGTCGACCGTGGGAAATCTCGAGCTCACGGTCGACCGCGGTGGTCGATCATGAAACTCTCTGCTACTCACTGATGAAAGAACTCAGGCGCGGTCAATCGTGGCGGTCGACCGTGAACTAATATATGAAATTTTACAGTTTTGAACAGTTTTCTAATTTTAAAACACTGTTTAAAAATATCAAATAAATTCTAAAAAATATAAAACTTTGGGAAATTTTTATAGACATGATAATAAACATGCTACAATGAATGGTTTTCAAAAAGGACTTCCCAAATAAAAAATATCATTATTTTACAAAATAGGCCAAAACATAAAAATGTAAACATGTGAATTTTGACATTTTGGCTAAACCATGTTTTGAAACTTTGCACAATGATTATGTAGACTTAATAAAATATGTATATGATTATTGTTAAGTCTAAAAACCAAGAATACAATATTTTTACAAATATAATAGAAAATGAAACATATGAGTATGTATATGAAAATATATTTGTTTCATATCTAAGTAGTTAAACCAAATAAACATGAAATATGTAATTTTATATTTATAAACATAAAAACAAAACTTGTGTTGTATATATATATGACTACATATATATACAAGGAAACCAATAAAATGTGTGTGTATATGATATTGAGCTTAGAGTATCTAACACACATAATATAAAACCTAAACTAGATTACCCAAGCCGATTTTGATCTTCAATAAGCTTGACTTGGTACACTATACGGATGAAGCTGAACTTGGATCTTGAACTTGAATTGCATAAGCTTCACTCCACTATTCTGCCAATCTCCATTGGATATCATCATGAAAGTTTTATTCCATCCATCCTCCAACTTGTTGTTTGCCTAGAATAAATACGAAAACACAAATACTAGACAAACAACATTAGAAGTAAATTATTTGTTAAACATCATCAAAACAAGAAGGCTAACATCCTTCTCTTCATGATCCACCATATTCACAATACTTCTTTTAGGGCATTGATTGGATCGAGGACCAGGTTGGCCACATCTGTAGCACTTGATTAGGTCAGGCATGGCATATGGGTTCGGTGGTGTAGACTTCTTTGCTGTTGTTATCGCTGGACCCATGGCCTTCTTAGTTGTAGAATCCTGATCAGAAACAGTTAAAGACTGTTTATTCCCACCACGATTAAATCTCGTGCACGACCTGCTGGAAGCTACCCACGATCCTCTATTATTTCGTCTAAGTTGTCGCTCCACCTTTTTGGCTAGGAAAACCGTGTCTGCCAAGTAATATGTCTGCTATAAAGACAAACGATCCTGTATTGCTATCCTCAATCCCTCAGTATATCGAGACATCTGTTGGGCCTCGTTCTCATTTAAGTTGTTGCGGGATGACAGCCGATAAAATTCCTACGTGTACTCATCAACGGTTCTTCCACCTTGCTTACAATTATGGTATTATCGAAATAAGATTTGTTCATAATCACTCAGCAAGAAACATGCTTTCAATAATTTCTTCATCTTTTCCCACCTATCGACTTTTAGCTTTCCTTGAATAGATCGATTCAAACAAACTGATTCCCACCAAGCTGAAGCTCCACCTTTAAGTCGGTAGGCCACCAATTTTACCTTACGCTCTTCTGGGATCTCCATATATTCAAAGAACCTTTCTACTTATGCAATCCAATCAAGGAATTCTTCCATACGAAGTTGGCCATTAAAAGATGGCAGATTCATCTTCATCTTGAACCCTCCAACATCATAATTATCCCTTTGTCGATGGTCTTTGCGATAATCACCACGGTGTGGGACTTCATAGCCATCGCCGTCGCTGTTGAATTCATCATATGGTGTCGGATCACGTCGTTGCCGACCATCAATGCGATTTCGAACTCCCGCCATATTCAGACACTCCACTGCCGCCGCAAGCCACTCTATGGCAATCTTCATTTGATTAACATTGGTCTTCAGCACGTCGAACTCAGTTCGAGAGATCGGAGCTTCATTGCTTGCCATCAAATCAGAGGAACCTGCTCTGATACCAATTGACGCAGCGCGGAATTGATAGTCTCGGAATCCACCAAGGGCATTCTCTGAATCCACAAAGAACAATCTTGGAATCCACGAAGAACTTAGAATCCATGAAGAAAATATTGAAAAGAGAAATTTATTGATCAAAAGTTATATCTCTAGGGCTTACAAGACTCTGCTTAAAAAGAAAAGAAACAAGACTCCTACTATGACTCAAGTTTTACCAAAAATAGAAATAACAAAACTCTTCCTAAAAAGACTTCGTAAGGTTAGGGAAGTCAATCGGTCAATCTGAGATCAAACCAGATTTATTTCCTAATCAAAACAGACTCCTAAAAACATTACTAGAAATAGTAAAACAACTGGAAAAAAAACGTTAATATCTCTCAAACCGGAGGGAATTTGGCGAAACAGACAGCAACAAACCAAACTACAGTAGGTTTGGTCGGCCCCGTCTTGATAAAATATGCGATTTTTATATAAAATTTGTCTAATTCCGTGAGGATATTAGCTAGTTTTTTATTTTCTCTCTAGTGCTAGAATGTAGGCAAAGAGTTACTGATTTTACTTGAAGCTATTGGGAATCACACACACGTTTTCATACTTATGTTTTTAAGCGTTTTTCACAAAATACTATTTATCACAAGTATGAGGACCTTAGCAAAGTTCTTTTTCCAAACAGTTTGCTTTTAGTATTAAAAACATTTTACAAAGTTTCATAATTTTCAGAGGTCAGAAACAAGACTCCTACTATGACTCAAGTTTTACCAAAAATAGAAATAACAAAACTCTTCCTAAAAAGACTTCGTAAGGTTAGGGAAGTCAATCGGTCAATCTGAGATCAAACCAGATTTATTTCCTAATCAAAACAGACTCCTAAAAACATTACTAGAAATAGTAAAACAACTGGAAAAAAAACGTTAATATCTCTCAAACCGGAGGGAATTTGGCGAAACAGACAGCAACAAACCAAACTACAGTAGGTTTGGTCGGCCCCGTCTTGATAAAATATGCGATTTTTATATAAAATTTGTCTAATTCCGACTTACGGTTTGAAAGTTATAACCCGTTCTTCACAGCAAGTTATTTTCCTCGACCGGGACCGCGTTTGGGCTTGCGACTGTCCCGCTTCAACATAAACATGTCCGCCGTGTGTTCTACATCACAGATGGACGTGAATATTACAAGAGGAAACGAAATTTCACCGGATATTGAGGCCCTGAGGGCCACTGATTCATGGCGAGGAATCACAACACCAAGAGCTAAAACTCAACCTCTCAAGGACTAGCCAAAGAAAAAGACTCATCCTCGAAGCAATCATCTTCTATTATAAACACTTCACTGAGAAAAGGGGGAAAAAGTTATTTTCACAAAACGGAACCGAGAACCTTGTGCGGTGTTGCACAAGACCTCCATGAAATTTATAAGTCCCCGAAATCCTTCTAAGCTTATTTCGCTCTACCATGATTGACGCCGTTAAATGTAACATGTTTGGACGTCCTTTGGTTCTCCTCATGTGATCAAACGTGGATATTTTTACACATGCTCATCAAATAAAAGTCGTCAATATCCATATTTTTCACCGC